GCCAGGAAGAGGAGGATGAGGATGGGGGAGGTGATGAAGGCCCCCCCCCCCGCGCCCCGTGTCGGTGCTCACCAATAGAAGCTCTGCGTGACGGGCAGCACGATGCCCTGCTCCAGGTTCTGGATCTCACTCATCAGCCCGGTAATGGGGTCAAAAAGGACGCGGAGGTACTGTGGGGTGGGATGGACAGAACCCAAATGTTGGCAGTGCTGCCTTGGGGTGGGGCTGGAGGGGTTGGGTTGAGCTGTTCCAGTTGAGTTGACCCAAACCCCATTGGGTTGAGCCACCAACCCCAGTTAGGTTGACCCAATCCCACTGAGTTCAGCCAATCCCAGTTAAGTTGACCCAAATCCCATTGGGTTGAGTCAAACCCCATTGGATTGAGCCACCAAACCCAGCTGATTTGGGTTGGGTTGACCCAACGCCACGGAGTTGACCCAAATCCCATTGGATTGAGCCAACCCCATTGGGTTGAGCCATCAATCCCAGTTGGGTTGACCTAATCCCATTGAGTTGACCCAAACCCAGTTGGGTTGACCCAAACCCCACTGAGTTGACCCAAATCCCATTGGATTGAGCCAATCCTAGTTGGGTTGACCCAACCCCATTGGGTTGAGCCATCAATGCCAGTTTGGTTGATCCAATCCCATTGAGTTGACCCAAACCCAGTTGGGTTGACCCAAACCCCATTGAGTTGAGCTCACTGCGCTGACCCAACCAACTCCACATGGGGGATTCCCACCTCATTCTCAATCTCGTAGGGTCGCTCTGGTTTCGGGGGGCTCGGGGGGGTCTCGGTGTCACTCAGCCGCGTCACCCCAAAGGCGCTGAACCCCACAGCGGGCGCCGACGCCTGGAAGAGGAGCTCCCGAGCCCCGCCGCCATCTTGGGGCCGCCGGAGCCGGCGGGTGGAAGGGGAGACGGGGACGAGCTGAAGGGTGGATCAATGGGGAGATGTGAGATATGGGGTGGGAAAGGGGGAGATGTGGGGTGGAGGGGTGGGGAGGGGGCTCACCACGCTGGGCACCGCTCGGCCATCGGGGTCTGTCACGACGTAGGACGTCCCATTGACCGGAAGGCGGATGGGCCAAAGGATGCGACGTGGGAGAGGGTTGTAAAGGATGACGGAGAACTGCGGGACAGACGGACGTGGGGATGGAGAGACAGACGGACAGGAAGAGACAGAAACAGAAGGACAGGGGAACAGAAGGGTGGACAGACAGAGGGACAGAGGAACAGAAGGACAGGGGGACAGGGGAGCAGAAAAACAAGGCAGAAAAATAGAGACAAAGAGAGAGAAAAATAGAGGAACACAAGGACAGAGTGACAGAAGGACAGACGAACACAAGGACAGAAGGACAGAGGAACAGAAAGGTAGCGGAACACAAGGACGGAGGCACAGAATGGCAGAGGAACACAAGGACAGAGGAATACAAGGACAGAAGGACAGAAAAACAGAAAGACAGAGGAACAGAAGGACAAAGGGATGTGGGGACAGAGGCACAGAAAAACAAACGGACAGAGGAACTAAAGGACAAACGGATGTGAGGAGAGAAAAACAGAAAGAGAGAGAGACAAAAGAACAGAGCGACAGACAGATGCGGGGACAGAGGGACAGACGGACGTCCCCCCCCTCCTCCCCCCCTGCCGCCACCCCATCCTCACGCTCTCGGCCGCCTCAGTTATGGGGCAGACGCTGACGTTCAACGCCTCGCAGAAGACAAAGCTCTCCTTGCTGCCCCCCAGCACGGACAGCGCGTTGGCCACCAGGACCTGCGGGAGGAGGAGGGGGGAGGAGGGGGGGGGGGGGGGATGTGGGGGTCACAGACGGCCCCCCTTTCCCCCCCGCCCCCTCCCAAAGCGCCACCCTGTGCCCCCCGCATCCTGCCCCACACCTGGCACGCCGCCCAGCCCCCCGCCAGCTGCCTGGCGTAGTCGTTGGCCACGTGCTGCCGCTCCGTCCCGCTGACGGCGTCGTGGTGCTGCATCACGGCCACGGCTGCCCCTATTGGGGGGGGGGGGCACCACGGTGGGGTTGGGATTTGGGGTTGGGGGCACAATGGTGGGGTTGGGAGCAAAACAGTGGGGTTGGGGTTGGAGGCACTAGGGGGGGAGTGAGAGTACTATGGTGGGGTTGGGATTTGGGATTGGGGGCACAATGGTGGGGTTGGGATTTGGGGTTGGGGGCACAATGGTGAGGTTGAAAGGCACAGCAGTGGGGTTGGGGGCACAATGGTGGGGCTGGGGGCACAACGGTGGGGCTGGGGGCACAATGGGGGCACAGTGCTGTCCCCACATCCCCACTCACGGAGCGCAGCGCTGCCCCCAGTCCCATAGGGCCCATTGCGTGCAGCCGACCCCACCAGAGCCTCCAGTTGGCTGCAGATCTGTGGGGAGATGGAGCGGTGGTTGGGGGGGGTCCCAGAGGCTGGCGGTGCCCCCAGGGGGTCTCTCTGGGTGCCCCCCGGGTCCCACCTGCAGGAAGCTGCTGCTCAGACGCTCGTAGCGCTTCAGGCTGGGCCGGCTGCTGAAGAACCCCGTCCAGAACTGGTGGGGGCCGTCCGAGTAGGGGAAGAAATCGTCCGTCTTCACGGGCCTGTGGGAACAGCCGGCTGTCTGTCTGTCCATCCATCCCTCCCTCCATTTCTCCATCCATTCCTCCGTCCTTCCCTCCCCCCATCCATCCGCTCATTTCTCTATCCGTCCTTTTCTCCATCCCTCCTTTTCTACATCCATCTCTCCTTCTCTACTTCTCCATCCCTTCACCCCTTCCTTCCTCTCCATCCCTTCACTTCCTCCATTCCTCCTTTCGTCCCTCCCTCCCTTTACTTCCTCCATCCCTCTCCCCTTCCCTTCCTCCCTCCCTCCATCTCTCCATCCATTCTTCCACCCATCCCCCCATTCCCCCCTCCCTCCTTCCCTTCGTCCATCCCTCCATCCCTCCATCCCTCCATCCCTCCGCTCATCCCTCCATCCCTCCGCTCATCCCTCCATCCCTCCCTCCCTCCCTCTCCCCTCACCAGCTCAGGTTTGCACGGTGCAGCTCCCACAGGTAACACGACGGCGTGGAATACAGAACGTGGACCCGGCTGCCATTGCTTTGCTGGGGGCACAGGCTGGGGTCAGCAGTGGGGACACCCGGATTTGGACACCGCAGTGGGGACACAGCAATGGGGACACAGCAATGGGGACACCTCAAATATGGACACCACAATGGGAGACACAATGGGGACACAGCAATGGGGACACCTCAAATAGGGATGCTACAATGGGGACGTCACAATGGGGGACACAAAGGGGTCACAGCAATGGGGGACACCACAATGGGGACAGAAAGTGGGGACACTGCAATGGGGGATACAGAATGGGAATACCTCAAATAGAGGCATTGTAAAGGGGGGGACACACCACAATGGGGACAAAGATTAGAAACACCATAACAAGGACATCCCAAATAGGGACACCACAGTGGGAACACAATGGGGACAGAGACCAGGGACACCACAAGGGGGACACCTCAAATAGGGACACTGATAGTGGGGGACACAGCATCAGGGGACACAGCATCGGGGGACACAGCATTGGGGACGCCATGGGATGCCGTGGGGATGCAATGGGGACGCCATGGGGACGCCATGGGGACACGCAGCGGGTCCGGCTGTGCCCACCCTGGCGTTGACGTGGTCGATGAGTTTGTCCATGTTCTTGAACCACAGCAGGGCGTTCTCATAGTGGAAGTCGGAGCCCATGGTCATCACGATGTGATTCGTGCGGAACCGCCGGGCCTGCGGGCAGCGCCGCGATGGGGACAGCAGGATGGACTCCCCCCACAGCCCCCACCCCACAGCCCCCGACCCCACACTCTCCGTCCCCCCATCCCCCATCCATCCATCCCCTATCCCCCTACAAACCCCTGGTCCCATCCCTGCACCCCCTCTATCTCCCCC